AGCCATTCATTAAAGCAAGAGAAATAACCAAACAGCAGAACAAAGCAACTACGGACAACAACTAATCAGCAAGGGAAGCTACCTACAGCTACTAAATAACCTACTTCACCAGATCAGAGCGTATTTCTATCTTTTCAGATTTTCCAGAGAAATTTCAACTAGAGTATCAGAATTTGATTTCCATTAACAATGCTAAAGGATATGTTTGGGAGTGCTTAAAAAATAAGTGTTCATTCAAAATAAGTGCTTATTAGGGCCATTAAACACTTATTGGTATTTAGGAAAGAAGTGCTTATTTTTAAAATAAGGGCTTACTTTTTAAGCCCAAATTTCCAGCTTTTTTGAGTGCTTATACAATAAGCATTTATTCAATTTTTTTCTTCCAAAATTATCCCTAGCTGAATTTTAAAATACCACTTATAAAACTATCCCTAGTTAAATTTTATAAAAGTATTTTTATTAAAGCACTTTTACAAAAAGTACTTTTACGAAAATACTTTTATAAAAACACTTTTATGAAAGCACTTTTATGAAAGTATTTTTATAAAAGTGCTTTCATAAAAGTATTTTTATAAAAGTATTTAATAAAAATGCTTTCAAATGGTATATTTTGAAAAGTTGAAAGAAAATGAAAAACAAAATACTCACAAATGCTTATTTAAGTGCTTATTAGAGAAAAAGACTACCAAATGCCCCAATAAGCACTTGAAAAAGTTGGGTTTCCAAATGCAAGTAAGCGCTTATTTGAATAAGCACTTATTTTTAACTTAGGTTTAGTTTGGAAGGAGTACAAATACAAATATGTAAAATGCAAATACATACAAAATACGAGGTTTTTCACTCTACAAATTTGTATTTGCACCCTTTCCAAATTGAGCCTTGCACTCGCAAACATGGCCTAAACCGATTAAGATTCAAACCAATTGTGTAACTAATAACATATAAATGTCTCATGGTTTTCTTGTAACATGTGCTATATTTTATGTCTAAAAAGGTAATTTTCATATCATATATAAGATAATTTAATTAAAAGGTATTTATTTTATCAATATATAAACAATTTACTATTTACTGATATATTTTTATTATGGTTATGTTATCAAAAAAAAGTAAAGTTTCAAGTTGTCAATATAATAATGCAAAAGCACATTTACAAGAAAATATTAACCATATATGATAAATGGTTTTTGGACTTAACTTATGTTATGCAAGGCAAGTATTTACTTTGTATAGTGTATAAATCATAAGGCTTACAGATACAGATGTGTAAAATATAAAACCTTACATTTTTTGGGTAAAATATAAAAACCTCCCTTGAAATTTCTGACAATAAGAAAAACCTTCCATTTAGTTTGATTTTAACAAATATCTCTCCTGAACTTTTAAAAAATCCAACAAAATCCTCCCTTCCGTGATAGAAAATATACAAAGTTACGAAATTACCCCTAACAATTGTCATTAAAGAAGCCAAAAAGGAACTGAGCAGCTTGGCATTAAATAAGGGAATCCCGGAGGGCATTGGGTTTCGGCAATTGAAGCCTATTTTCAGGCGGCTGGTGTAACAGATTCAAAGACTACTAAAGGAGTGTTTCTAGCATATTTGGGGAGCTACATGTCAGCACCGTGGCTGCAGTGAGGGTAATCCGTTGGATAACCAGTAGCAACGGTGATGATTCACGTCTGAGGGCAAAATTTGTGGCAGAGTTGGTTTCCGACGAAAGGGTGGTGGCTCTTTTTGCCGGAGAGAACGACAATGCACGCAATCTTGTGGAACTATTAAGTTTCAAAGCTTCTAATGTGCGCAAAACAGAGGGCTCATATACGCCACATCTAGTTTCTTTTCTTCTTTTAAAATTTTTGCCACTTTTTGTTTCTCAAAATCACAGAGGAGCATATCATTTTCAAGCGAAATATTGCAAGATGAATGCAGAGATGTTCAAGATGACGATGCTCTATGTACCACATAACATGGAGCATACGTCTGGATCTGCTAGTTTCCTAGTTTTTGGTCATTATGGTTTCAATTGTTGGTTTTTCTGTTCCTTTTTTTTGTTGTTGTCTCTATTTTTCTTTTAATGAAATTTGTGGTTTACTATTATTTTGGTATGCAAGATATAATAGAGACTATTTACCAAACAAGGGATGACTGCGAATGTGTACCAGTAGGTCGGAATATGTCATCGTCGGTGCAATACAAATCAAAGACAGAGCTTTTACATTTTCATACGTTTTCATTCACACAAATGGTAGAACAGAAGATACTCAATTTCTAACAGACAGTAGCAAAAGGTATATTGAAATGTGAGATCCGCTCAATAATGCTGGTCAAATGACCCAAAATTATACAACCATTGTAAGAGCTTTCTCATTTTCTATCATCGAACACCAAATGCATCTTAATCATCGTCCTCCAGAGTCTAGAACACTCCAACGCCTCTGAATCATCACTTTGGTTTGCTTTACTGTTCGATTGTTAATCGATTCCAATAATGATATAAGCCTTTCTTCAGACACCTTCTCAACTATCTGACCCATTTGAGCAGCTCTCAGTAGAGCATCCTCAACTCCATGTGCCTTCTCAGGCTTAACCAAAGCAATCCGAGCAAGCCTTTCTCATGTTATAGATGACAAGATTTGACTAAGCATCTTGCCTCCTTTCATCTGCTTCTTTTTTGGCTTCTTCTTCGCTGCTTCGAGTTCTGCTAATTTACAATGCCGTGTTGTGTCATTAACTCCTGCATTCTTCTCCGTCTATTAGCTTCCAATTCGGGATCAGCCATTGCTTTTTCCTTCCTTCTCCAACCCTGGATATTCTCTTAGCAAGCTGAAACAACCAGAGAGATATCACTGACATAACGTTTAAGCTGAGTCGGTGGAGTTTAGGGATGGGAGATTGAGATCAAAGGAAGTTTAGTAAAATTGTACATAAAATGATTTACACAAGGGCAGAATGGGTATTTGAAAAATTTGATACATCAAAATGAAACTAAAGAGCAGATTTTTTTTATTGTCAGAAACTTTGGGAGAGGTTTTTGCATTTTCGTCCCATTACATCCCTTTGACTTCACATGCAATTCAGTATATGTGAAGAAGAGGTATATGTTAGTGGACATGTATCCAAAATTTATGGTGTGGGTGGGAGATCCGAACTCGAATTTGAATCTAATGAGGAAGTCGGATATTTGGATCTGATTTAATTATTTAAAATAATTATATTAAAAAAATAAAATATAACAATTTAAATAAATAGAAACAAAAAAATACAAGTATCTTTTCAATTATTTTTATCATATATATACAAGTTTTTATAAAAGAATTAAGTAATATAACAAATTGACAAAAATGCAATATAAATAATATATTTATAAATAAATAGATAACATCTATATATATATGTGTTATATATATCGATTCCTCTCGAATCGGATAAAGGGTAAGCAGAATTTGATCCGATTTATGATCGGATCCTATTACCCAATCTGATCCGAAGATTCAAAATGGGGATACTTGAATATAACAATATAGTATCAGACTTTGGATCGGATTATGATCCAATCCATTTTGCACCCCTAACTGTGTTAACGTTTACACTTTACATACTGCTTTGAACATACTAGTCTCAATATGCTAAGAGAACAAAAATGTACAAGTAGCATTATACCTAGCCATACTAAGGTTTTAAAAACTGGACTGGACATAAAACCGTTATGGAGATTAATTCCTACGTTTTAAAAACAGTTAAAAACTGTTGTTCGGACCAATAAATTGATGGTTCAACCACTCGGATCAATAAATAACCAAATTAATATTATTTGGCCAAAAAAGCGATTTTAGAGTGAAACTGAACCGATTACCTGACCAATTCTCATGTCAACCGGTCAAACCGTTCAGTCAGTTCCAGTTTTCAAAACTATGAGCCATACGTTACGAATATCTCCTCGCCATCGACTCTCAATGTATTTGTGCACTTTTTACTCTTTGCTTCCATCAAATCCTCTATTAAATGTGCCTCACACCAACCTCACTAATTACTCATAGGTCATGGGGATATATATTCGCAATGCATGGCTGCAACGTGTGAGGTGCCTTCGAAGCAAATCAGAATTCCTCTCTCTATACAATCAGAGGCTCAGAGCATGCAAAAATCAATAGATGCAAAAGATTGCAATCGTGTTGATTGCTCATTTCTGATTTTCGCTACTTTCGAGCTTTGTGCACACCTCACTACAGATGGGATGTTAGGACATCCCTATCATATCATCTCTTTGGCTGAACCGGCACCTTCTGCGATGCCGAATCTGCTGCCCACAATATTTATACAAGGCATTGCAGACATCTATCCATCAAATGATGTTCCCGATGTACGGCTGTCTTGTATTGTGGATATGTTGTTGGCAGTGTGGTATTGTAGGTAGCAGAACCGAGCTCACCCCTGCTCGGCTTGGCCAACCTACCACAGACAAATGCGAGCGGACAGGACATGGTTTTCAAGGGCCCCACCTTATTTTATTTAGGATATATATATTTTTTCTTTCTGTGGGACCCAGCTAGATCCAGAACTTAACGGGATGGGTTATTGCCTTATTGGCGTTGCTTTGATTGGGCAACGCTCTACAGGTGCAGTGGGCCCAGAAAGATCTTATGTTTCAACATGTCTTGTCGCGAGTCTAGCTGCGTCTGTAGCACGTTGCCTGTGCAGTCGAGGTATTTGCCAACATTTTCTCACAAAATTCCCACGCGGATGGCATATCTTTGCATCCAAACACCCCTCCCCCAGAAAAGCAGAATGGAAAACGAGTTGGAAAGAAACGATAAAGTGCGCGAAGATGCACAACAACCTCACCATCACGTTTTTTTAACGCCGCAGAATTTAGAAATGTCAAGGGCATCAAAGATCCGACGATGCAAGATTCTACTCTAGTATGCTCTCTCGTGCTTTTGACTCATTTTCCATTACTACCCCTCCTCTTCATAGTTCACCGCTCCCCTCTTCTCTTTTCTGTACTCCTTTTTCAGAGCTGTCCCCGCGTTAATTAAGGAAATGCTGGGAAAAGCTCTGGCGAGTCGTATAAAACCTCCTTAGTCACGCCCAAAGTTCAAGAAAACTTTGAGAGCTCAATGGAGAATCCATGTCCATGGTGTTTTTCACCTTTGAGGTTGGGTTTCATATCAGAGTCGTCGTTGTTTGTAGGTGAAGTTTGAACACGTTTCGGTATAATTCAGTGGCGTGGTGAACGAACAATCTAATGCTCTTCCATGTACACCAGGTTTGATTTTCTTCATTTCTTTAATCAATCAGAAAACATTAGCTGCTTTAGGCGGAATTCATTAATGGAACCATTTCGAATACTAACCTTCTCAAAATCGGGTTTATTGAAAATTAAAAGGTACTCTTCGTTTGTTTTCTTTTTAAATTTGTTTTCTTTTTCAGAGGAGTATTTGGTTTATGGTCGCTTTGTGATGGAGAACAACGGGGAAGCCGGAGACGATCAAGGCTCGGGATGGTTTCAAGTCAAAAAGGTTTCGTCTCTCTCTCTCTCTCTCTCTTTTCCCTCAATATTTTGCTATTTATGTTCTCCGTTGCATCGTTTTCCCCACTGCTGTTACAAGAAATTCTACCAATGTGTAGTTGTGTACTAAAATAATTGAACGTTAGGAGCTTGTTTGCTATTTCCTGCTAGAAAAGAAAAAGAAAAATAAAAAGAAAAGAAAGAACAGGAAATGAAACGAGGGTTGGTAGAAAGACTATTGAGGAACTAAAATCCGGAGTACAATAAAAGAAAGAAGAGAATGGAAATTGCACCCTGATTACCATGAGCCATGTAATGATAATTCATTGAAATCGAGACAAGTAAATGGGGTACATTTACTGGGTAACTAAAGAAACTTTTAGCCATATGATTATTTTCAGGAATTCCTGTCAATTTACTTTAGCATTATAACTTGGTGAATGTGCGCGGAGTTTGTGGTGAAGTCCTGTTATACTGTAATAAACCTCATCTAGTTACCCTTATCTTGTCAACTTGCTTCAATTTAACAAAAATGAATTCTCTTTTCCGTTTATAGAGGACCAATGAGCATCTTGACCCAAAGAAACCAAACATAGTTTGGATGGTGTCTTGAACCAGATAATGTTAAGGAGTTCATCAATTCTTAATTTGAGCCTATTGGCTATAGAATGAAACTAAATACCCTTATCTAAGATTTAGATTTATGATCCCTTTGAAATTCTTAGTTACAGACTTTGGAACACTTGGATATGAATCTAGTTTTTGTTATTTTATTATTATTTTTAAGAATAAAGTAAGGAAAGTGTGAAAAGTGACTACTTTTGCATAAGTGATCAGCTTTGAGGTGTAAAGTGTGAAAAGTGACTTCACATTTTGAGCCTAAGTTGCCAACTGTGAAAAGTAACCTCCTTTGAGTTTAGGCTTCTAAAATTATAAAGACAACTTTGGGTCTATGTTCTGGTTCTTCACTGTCATCTACCTTTTACAGTTTGGTTATCCCTTTTCAATTTAAACACGATCAATTTTTGTAATATTTTCTACCAATTATATTTTTCTTATTCTTATTCCTTTTATTTATTACGGTCTATTTATATTAAACAGTTTGAACATTTCCTATCTTTCTCAGATGCTACTATCAGAAATTGTATTTTGTCGGAGAAGATTTAGTTACGAATACGATTTTCATTGATGAATGAAATTGGTTTTGTTTTACTAGAGCTTGACATAGGGTCCTACTCATTACCTTATAAGCTCTCTGGTGTAGAAGATAGTTTAAGAATGTCTGTATTTACTGCTGTCACCAAAACACTTTGTTGTAGTACCCTTAAGGCTATCCTCATTTAATTCCTTACTATCTCCTTTTTGAAGAGAGAAGGGTTCCCCCTTAGAGGAACCAAGAATTGCATAATTCAACCTTCAATTTTCATCATTCCCTTTATTTTTCCTTTTCTTACGTTATTATCCATGTACAAGTGGCTTGTTTTAATCATTATCCGTGTACAAGTGGCTTGTTTTAACACTTTATTTTTTCCTCTGTATTTGTTATCCAGAAGCACAAAACTAGCTCAAAGTTCTCAATACAAAATTTGGTAGGGTGGCTTGTTTTAACACTTTATTTTTTCCTGTGTATTTGTTATCCAGAAGCACAAAACTAGCTCAAAGTTTTCAATACAAAATTTGGTAGGGGGGTTCTCTAGCAAAACCCCTTCGACTTCTCTGCACAGTCAGCCTTCATTGAATGATAGAACTGGAAATTCCCAAGCCAGGCAGAAATCTGAGTCTTCTAAAGGCGGGGGAGATGCTTCACTTCATGTCCAAGTGGGCGGTGAATATTCTTTTTCTGCATCCAAAGAAGCAGAGAAGACTGCACATGACCTTGTTAAATGTACCGCAAATCAAGATTCTGAACTTCCCAAACCATCTTATTTTAGATCCATAAGCACTACAAATTCAAATAATCAAGAAGTTATCCAAAAGGAAAAGCTGGATATGATTCCCAAAATTAAGTGGGGTGATCTAGAGGATGATGCTCTGGTGCTGCATCATGATATTACAGATAGAACTGAAATCAAGTTTGGTGATATTGGGGTTGATAATTTGGCAGTGTGCAGAAAGTCAGTAAATGCTAATGATTCAATGTCATCTGTTCCTTCTTGTACTGCTGCTCCCCCAGTGGATGTAGAGGTGGTAACATCCATCGATGCGGAGCATGTTCCTTGTCAAACGAGTACAATGATTCAAAGGGATAAACCTTTGGAGCACTATAAAGAGCTGAATGAGACATCTTCAAAAAATGTGGGATCACCAAAAGCAGATGAGAAAATACTTGGTCCAAATGATGGTGTTGAAAATATAGAGGAAATCAATCACAAACATGTCATGCCCACTAGGGGTGCTGCCATAGATGGTTTGGATTCAAATGATCTGTATAGTCAAAACTCTCTTTCTTCAGCAAATCAAGAGGTTGGGATGGTGATGACACCCAAAGGAGCTGAAAGCAAATCTAATGATGATGCTTTAAATGTTTCTGCAGTGCCAGTGGCAAATGGGCTTCCATGCATTATTGTGGGTACCCAAGATCCAGTCTTACTTTCAGAAGAAAAAAATGTTCCTGAAACTTCAGATGATGCTTTGGTCAGAGAAGCTGTTGAAGGCTGCAGTTCCAAGCAGGATGGTGCAATAGATGTTGATCTGTCACAGGCCCAGATAATGACTGCCCTTGGGGAAGGTGAATTGGGTGAAAGCAGAGAAAGGTTTAGGCAGCGGCTTTGGTGCTTTCTCTTTGAGAATCTTAATAGAGCTGTGGATGAACTTTATCTTCTCTGTGAATTGGAATGCGATTTGGAACAGATGAAAGAAGCTATTCTTGTTCTTGAAGAAGCTACATCAGATTTTAAAGAGCTGAAATCTAGAGTGGAAGGATTTGAGAAGGGGTCTTCCCCTCGGCTATCAATTGATGGGAGGCCAGTAAATGTTAAGTCTGAGCACCGCCGTCCACACGCTCTCTCTTGGGAGGTCTGCATGCTTACTTCTCCTTGTCCTTACTGGCATACAATCAAAAGCTTGCATTGTTCAGACTGTTATGGTGGTTTCATTTCATACCGATAGACTCGTGCATAAGCATGTGGATATGCTGCAGTGAATTTTTAGTCAAAATTTCATTCTTGAAACTTGTCAGCAAGGAAAGTACTTTGAGGTTGAAATTCTTCCTGTCTTCATTAGATGCCATACACTGGGAAATCTTCTGTTAAAGAAAGAGGAATATAGAATATATATCAAGAATTAGAAAGAGAATTCAGCTTTTCCCCCTTTCCTATTAATTACATGCAAGTCTTTGATAGTCTCATACTAACATCAAAAAAAAGAAAAGAAAAGAAAAAAAATGAACTTCTTGTTAAACAGGATCATTTTCCCCTAACTTGTTTTAGGAGTGATTAGTGTGAGAAAATGAATTCAACTATTTAACAGTTGATTTTTGTGTTTCATATTTCAAAATTCATCTATTCATTGCAAGTTAAGAAAAATCTTCTGACTAGAAATGAAAATAAATACCATGGCATACTTTGTGGTCAAAATACCATAGTGTACAGTGTAGCTGTAAGGGCCAAATTGTACAATATCATTCTAGTTCCCAAGAATGGCAGTCATAGCAGCTGCAAATTATAGGGCTAGATAGTTTGGACAAGGTAAAAGAAAAAAGATATTTTCCTGGAAAAAGTGCTCTCTATAGATGGAATTATTTTATATTTGTGTTAGATTTTAAGATATTTTCTGAATCTATATTTGAGTGTTAGCTTTTTTAATTTGCATTTTGGAATCTCAAATCTCAAATTATTTTATAATTGTAATCTGATACATGTTTAGTGCTTTTCTGCTTTAGTGTACCCTGAGATATTATATATATTAAAGGTTCTTTGGTGCAAGCAGTCATGTGAGAAATGTTCAAGGCTTTTTAGTCTTTTAGGGTGATTTATGTTTTCTCTGTTGGAGGGATAGTGGTTGAGGAAGAGTTTTGTTTATCTTTTTTATTTTTATGGCTATTTATGTCTTGATGTGTATTGATGGGAAATTGGTTTTAGATTTCTCTATTTTTTTTCTGTCTTGGTGACACCTTATCACCTCAGATTGTATCTTTATCTTATTTTTTCCTTTATAATGAATTTTTATTTTCTATCAAAAGCCAAACAAGGTTCACTCTGAGATTTTAAGCTAACTCTGATTAAAATAATTGACATACTAAATTTTATTGCAATATTTTAAACAAGCTTCAACTGTTTATCTTTCTTGCTTGAAGGACCAATAATTAGTGTAAAATGTTTGTTAATCCATCCTGAGTGCAGGTTCGGAGAATGACTACTTCGCCTCACAGAGCAGAAATACTATCTTCATCTCTTGAGGCATTCAAGAAAATTCAACAAGAAAGAGCAAGAATGGCTTCTGTACATGATACAAAAACACCAGGTCCTGGATGTCTAAATGCCTGCCATGTTTCTAGTGATCATCCAAATAAGACATCTGGGAGAAATGATGTCATACCAAGTTCTAAAGAATCAGTAATGAAATCAAGGAAGCAAATTGGCGTTCCAGATTTCAGCCACGGAAACTTGTGTGGAGAGAAGCAGAATATAGAAACAGGCAGGTTGAACAAAGAGTATTTAGAACAAAATAGCCATACCCTTCTGCAGAATTTATCTGTCTCTGATCCTAATTCATCTCAAGTGACTTTGAAGGAGACCCCTGTTTCTTCTGTTGCTGGAAAGAGCAGGAAAGAACACACTGCACCAGTTTCTGAAATGGAGAAGTTGGTGCCTAAGAAGGATAAATTGTTGACTGAAAGTAAGGTTGAGAAGAATCCCAAGTCCATGGACTCCCTGAAAAAGCAAGCTCTGCTCTCTGAGAAAGAAAAGGATAAAAGAAATGTAGCATCATGGAAATGCATGGATGCTTGGAAGGAGAAGAGAAATTGGGAGGACATACTTGCAACTCCATTGCGCAGCTCTTCTCGTGTTTCACATTCACCAGGCATGAGCAGGAAAAGTATGGACCGTGCCCGCATTTTACATGACAAACTAATGTCTCCAGAAAAGAAAAAGAAGACTGCTTTGGATCTAAAAAAGGAAGCAGAAGAAAAGCATGCACGAGCAATGAAGATTAGAAGTGAGTTGGAGAATGAAAGGGTGCAAAGGCTACAGCGTACATCAGAGAAGTTGAACCGTGTTAATGAATGGCAGGCTGTTCGAAACATGAAATTGAGAGAGGGAATGTATGCTCGACAGCAACGTAGTGAATCCCGACATGAAGCTTATCTGGCTCAAGTTGTGCGAAGAGCTGGTGATGAAAGCAGCAAGGTTAATGAGGTGCGATTCATTACTTCCTTGAATGAAGAGAATAAAAAGCTTATGCTTCGCCAGAAACTTCATGATTCAGAACTGAGGAGAGCAGAAAAGCTACAAGTGATGAAGATTAAGCAGAAAGAGGATATGGCAAGAGAAGAAGCTGTGTTAGAACGTCGGAAACTCCTTGAAGCTGAAAAACTGCAGCGTCTTGCTGAGACACAGAGAAAGAAGGAAGAAGCTCAAGTAAGAAGAGAAGAAGAACGCAAAGCTTCAAGTGCAGCACGTGAGGCAAAGGCTGTAGAACAACTACGTAGAAAGGAAGTTAGAGCCAAAGCTCAACAAGAGGAAGCTGAACTATTAGCCCAAAAGTTAGCTGAGAGACTTAGTGAAAGTGAACAACGTCGAAAATTCTACCTAGAGCAAATACGGGAAAGAGCTTCAATGGATTTCAGAGACCAATCTTCTCCTTTACTGCGCCGTTCTTCAAACAAAGAGGGCCAGGGTAGGTCTATGTCAAACAGCAACAGTGAAGATCATCAAGCAAACAACACTTCTAGTTTAGGAGTTTCTGCTCTGCAGAGTGACAATGCTGCACTACAGCATCCACTGAAGCGAAGAATTAAAAAGATTCGGCAAAGACTTATGGCTCTGAAATATGAATTTATAGAACCTCCAGCTGGTTCTGAGTGCACAGGTATTGGAAATAGAGCCCTTGTGGGAACTGCAAGGGCAAAACTTGGAAGATGGCTTCAGGAACTTCAAAGACTTAGACAAGCCAGAAAAGGAGCTGCAAGCATAGGATTAATAGTTGGAGATATGATCAAGGTACTTTTCTTTTCTTTTCTTTGCTTTTTTTTTCTAATGCGCTTTCCTGTAGCCTGTCATGTTATGCAGAACTGCTTTGTGCGTGCAGTAGCTGTTTTGTTGTTATGTTAATCAAGATTAAGCATGCTTAGGAAACAGCTGATTGTTTTTTCCTCTCTGGGAGACCTGCAAAGGGAATTTTATTTCATAAAACATGGCGTAGTGACCCCAAATAGTTGGAAGAGGGCTTCATTTAGTGTGACAGAATATAATGCAGTAATTTTGCTCTATCTTTTGAGATTACTATGTGCTTATCTCAATTATTCTAAAATAGGAGATATCACACACATTCTTGTCTTTATCAATTCCTTGTTTATGCTTCATTCGTTACACTTATATCTGTGTAGCATTCCATATGTCCGAATTTGCCTTTGTCCAATTTATTTTAAACCTTTGGACTCTGAGGCACTGTTATGGACGCATTCCTCGGGAAGACGTACCGTCGCCACCGGCAGCAACAGGCACCTGACCCACCGCCAGCAGCAGCAGTGATTCAATGATTCTCATCCTACCCAGTTCGGCAACA